AGATTCCTTCTCTCTCCCTCAGCGGCAGCAGCTGTCTGTGACACTCTGGAGAAGCTAGGATTTGCAGGAGGCTCTGGCACCAGGCGGAGTTTGTTCTGGGCAAAGTGAAAGCGATTCTGTTTGCAATCTTACTTTTCGCCATCAGTCACTGATGGTGGCATGAAGAGGTAATGGAAGTGCCTGGGAATCCTGCTTTTTATTTCCACTCGGCAGCGTTTCTCTTGCAGGGGGAACATAAATTCAGCTGCTTTTTGTGCAGATTTTGCAAAATTAGTCTCTCTCCATCTAGCTGCATGTGTAGATATACACACTGGATGCAGGGATGAAGAGATGCAGGGATGCAGAGATGGAGGGATGGAGGGATGGGTTCACCCTGTGATGAAAGGTAGACTTGGAGCAGAAGCTTCATCCAGGGAAAGATGGGAAAGGAAGAAGGAACAGGACATAATGGAGAACCCCTGGTCATCACACTGCTGCCCAGGTGTTAGAGAGGTGGGAGGCTGTCTGTACCACGTGGCCACACCCCAGCCTTTAGCGCAGCATCAGGACACCTAGGGCTTGTTAGACTGGAGCATTCCCAGGCCTTCCCCCAGACTCACTGCCTCAGATCTGGGGGTAGGGCACAGCTGGCTGTCTTAAGCCCAGAGCTGGGTGTGATGGCACACAGAAGGTGGAATAGGCAAATCAAGACCACAGAAGGCTCCAGGTGGCGGTGGCCCATGCCTTTGATCCCAGCACTCAGGAGGCAGAAGCAGGCAGATCTCTCTGAGTTCAAGGCCAACTTGGTCTACAGAGCAAGTTCCAGGACAGCCAGGGCTACACAGAAACCCTTTTTCAAAAAACAAACAAACAAACAAAAAACAAATAAACATACAAAAAAAGACTACAAAAAGAATTTGAGGCCAGTCTGGGCTATAAAAGACTCTTGTTTAAAAACATCCAATAAGAAATAACAAAATAACACACACACACACACACACACACACACACACACACACCATCCAAAAGGCAGGAGGTGAGTCTGTTGTGAATCTGGTTCCAGAACTAACAATTAGAGCTCAAGTTTAACACAACTCCAAGCAGGAGAGCGGATTTCCCCGACTGCGGAAGCTGCCGGGTTTGTACCAGTGTGCAAGGCTGCTGCGCAGGAACAAGAGAATGTTACAGAGTGGAAGCTCTCTGTAGCTGGAGCTATGGACAATGGAGAATGAAGGGGACTTTGAGACATCAAGGATCCTGGGGCATTGGAGGTGAGTATCTGGGGGTTAATTAGAAAGACACAAACAATTGAATCTGACTGGAACTTTTCCCACGTCAGAGTCAAAGGCAAAACTCATCTCAACGGGCTGAACTTGGGACGTCTGACTTCGTAGGAGCCAAACTGACATCTTGTCATTTTGTCAAATCTTTATGACATCCCACCAAGAGAGAGCACAGCGGAGCAGATGATTTGATTATTTTGTGATGGCCTTCAGATAATTTTATATACTATAGGATGTCACAAAATCTAGTGCACTCATTGACAGGTTGGACTCCGTTGCTAAGGAAACCGCTCCAGGAGAGTGGAGAGCCTGAGATTTTTGGACTTTGTCTCTACCCACCACACTCTCCTCTCCACCACAAGTCACTCCACGTTCCTGTCATTGGCTTCTTCTCTTTAGATGTCTATTCTGTCCCAGGCCCAGTGATGTCATTTACTCTCCAATGAGGAAAATGAGAAGGGAGAAGAGAGGGCCAGAGAGGTGGGGTATTTTTACCCAGCTGCATGGTTTCTACTGGATTAAACGAGGACTTGGACTCAGACTTGACAGTTTCATTTTTTTTTTTTTTTTTTTGGCTTCACACCATTAAGCTATAATTGATACCTGAAAACTGTATATATTTATATTATCTGATAATAAGTTTGATATATGTTGGTATTATGACATTAGTTGATAAAGCTACAGAGGCATCATGTCAGGCACTTAGACTGACTCTTAGTGATTTTCATGACTGCCAAACAGTATCATTAACTTTGGTCACGGTGTTAAACGAAGCTCTCTAGAACTTACTCCTGTCTACCTGAAACTTCTTAATCTTGAGTGACGTCTCCCAATGCCCTACCTCCCCAGTCTTGCCAATTTCTATTCTGCTTTCTGTTTCTTTTGGCATTCTTAAGACAGTGTCTCACGTAGCCCAGACTGGCCTCAAACTCTCCAAGTAACCAACCAAGAGTGGGCTTGAACTCCTGATTCCCCTGCTTCCCTCACCGAACGCTGTAATTAATGGTGCTTCCCGCCACACTGCCGGGCTTTCAGCTTCTGTGGTGAATCAGTTTTCAAACCCCACTCCTCTCTGGAACAATATAGCAAATGATCATTATTCTCTTGTGCCTTGGTTTGCTGAGGCGTGCAGTTTTTCTCCCCAGGTTTATTGTGAAAGTAAGAATTCCTAGCTTTCAAGGTCTTCTGCCTTAAGAACCAAAGAGTGCGTTCCCAGCTCCACTCTGCCTCATGCGAGGCTGCCTGGGGCAGCCCTACTGTCTGGCACTTTCAGGCCACTCTGCCTCTACCCAAAGACACAAGAACTGCTTCAACAGAGGAAGTGCCTGGAAGTTCTGCTTGCTACTTCCTGCCTGGTTGTTAACAGTGACACCCAGGATGAGAGAGCTGTGATGAATGGAGCCTCTAAATTACCTCAGGATGACACTGCTTGATTAAGCTAAGTACTCTCAGTGGCACCTCAGCAGGCGATTGCTCATTTATTTATCTTAGAAGAACTGATTTTTATACCTACACACTTCTTTATCAACTCCAACTGTTCCCCAACTCAGACCAGCTTGCACACATCCCTTCTTGGACTCAGCCCTGTTACCTCAGATTAACCCTCTGGCTCCCACAGGGCTCTCTCCTCTCTGCTAGTAACCAGGTAGTGTTTTGGGGCACCACATGTAACATGTCTATGAACTTTCACAGAAACATGTCCTCCTTCGAGTGAGTCAGCCTGGAAGCCATGAGGAATGTGCTTAAAAAGTCATTTTAGTATAACTCCAAGGACCCACTGCCTTTCATGCTCCGAGACCTTAGCACCCCTTGGTATCATCCCTTAGACCAGTTTTCTGAGGTGCAACTTATCCATCCTGTTCCCTCTATGAGGTAGAACCCAGTAAAGTCAGTGTAGGGCTTTGATACAAAATGCCCCCCCCCCAGGCACAGGTGTTGGAGGTTTTGTCCACAATGCAATGTTCAAAGATGGAACTTTGGGAAGAGGTTGGACCTGAGGGTTGTGACCTTGTCAATGGATCAATCCATGCATGGATCTACAACTGGATTTTTGCAAGAATTCCTTCCCTGGGGGAGACGTGAACATTTCTTACGGTCTCAATGACAACCCAAAGTACAAATCCATCACACTTCCTCCTGGAGAGTCAGTGAGTTTATTAGGCTTACTTGCAGAACCTGGGTGAAGGGTTAAGGGTCACTGACAGGAGCGTGGGTGACCCCAAAGCAGCCATGCCGGAAGGTGTGCACCCAGCGTGGATGCTGGCTGCGCCCATGGCTGTGAAAATGAAGTCCTTTCCCCTAGCCTTCATCAATCCATAAACTCTTGCCCTCCCCTGAGGTCACATACAATTAGGGCATACAACTGGTTGGGAGGAGGTGGCTGGATATTCAGGTGAGAGTTTAATGATCCTTGCCAACCCCTCCATCTAGGAAACAAAATCAGTGGCCCACGTTCACAGACAAGTAGGTCTACTCCCAAGTAGGCAGGCACAACTGATCTCATAAAGATGGTGGCAGTTTTGCTTAGCAGATGGGCCTTACATGGATGTGCTACTGAGAGCTGGGTAGTCAAACTATGGAATATGGGGCCTGACTGGAGGAAGTGGGTCTTGGACTGTTATCTTTGCTCTCAACTCTTCCTCTGCCTGCTCCCTGCTTCCTGTCTTCCTACTTTCCTTTGCCATGTTATTCCACTAAATTCTTTCAGCTTCTCCATGGCCCACAGCAAAGGGAACCAGGGATGGGAGGATTGAAACCTCTCAGATCTGGAGTCAAATCTATCCTCCTTTGGATTAGTTACTTTTTATTGATGTCAGCAAACACTTGATAGAGGCAACTTAGGAAGGAAATTTTTTTTCTCATGGTATCAGAGGGTTCAGTCCATAGTTCGTTTGGTTCCATGTGCTTGAGAAGGATATCACAGCAGTAAGAATGTGGGGGGAAGCCCAGAATGAAACAGAAAGTGGCCAGAGATAACATGCCCCCCAATGTTTACCCCCAAAAGACCCACTATTCCAGAACAGTGCCATCATCTGGGACCAAGAATTCATATCATGACCCTGTAGGGTGACATTACATACCAAACTTTTCAGACTTTGACCCTCATATGCCAAAGTAATGATAAACTAAACACAGCCAAGAAAGGAAAGTTCTGAGTAAGATACTATTGGAAGCCTAGCCTCAAGGAAAGATTGGCATTTCTTAGAAGTAACCAGATTCCCAGTGAGTAACAGCCACAGGCTCACCCTTGATCCTAAGGATGAAACAGGAAGCTTCCACAGTCAAGGGCAGTGGGGATGAAAGAACATTCGAAATTCTTGAACTACACTTCCTGTTTCATCGTGGAGATATGGGCTCCCCTCTGCTCTGTCAGCATTTCTGTTGGGGTCATGGGCTCTCATGAGTCATGTGGACTCATTCCACAAATGACAGAAGCCACTTGCTCAGGCCCCAGCTCCCTCAGACCCGATCTGGGATTTCAGCTCAGGGTAGTAGGGTTTACCTGTTGAGAAAATGTGTCCAGGCCAACCAGGGTTAAGAGGCAGAGTCCTCTACCCCAGAGGAGACTCTGCTGCAGCTCTGGTCACCTGATGAGTAGCTGCAGACATGTATGCATTTATTCAGTCATTCACTTGTTCACCCAACTCTGTATGGCTTGCTCTGTGCCGGAAAAGGGGAAGAGAGCTGATGGTACAGGAGGGCTAGCTGGCTGAAAGATCAGCTTCGTGCCCAAGGTCAAGGTGGCCTCCACATGTTTGCCAGAGGGATGGCTGGCTGGCTAGCTGGATGGATGGATGGATGGATGGATGGATGGATTGATGGATAGTTGGTTAGCAATAGAGAAACAGCTAGAAGAACAAGGTACAATAAAGTCAGGGATGGGGCTGCTTGCTGGGCCCCTGGGGCCCAGAGGTTTGTGCCCTAAATGAAAAGGGTGCTGCTGATGGCTGACGTCCACACTGCTGTCCTGTTGAAGCTGCACCCAACTTACAGCCCGGGTATTTGGTTTCCTCACCCCCTGAGGACCAAGACACCCACCCTGGGGAGCCCAGCGCAATCTGTCACCCGCCACACCTGGCACCTCTTCAGCGCTCCTCCAGGTTCACCAAGGGGGTCATTTATTTCCTCCTTGGAAACGTCTAGGTTGTCAGAGTTAACGGTGACTTATGAGACCAGGGGACCCTCAGTTTCTCTCTGGCCATATTTCAACTTGGGAAGTTTCCCCATGGCAGCTTTGCTATTTCTCAGTCCCTGTCAGCCCCTCTGTTCTGCCAAGAGTTACAGGGTGCTAGCGATGAGACCTGAGAAAGGAGGACCCACCCGAGCTTCCTCCCACGAGCCCATCTTTGCCTGGTCACCTGAGAACTCCAGTGGTCAACCTTGTAAGGAGGGTGTCTCTGTGGGACCTTGCCATCTCTAGTGCGCAGACTCCCCCTTCCACTGATGCTTTGGGTTAGAACTGTCTCTCCACCTGGGGCTCCTTTGGGGGATGAACATCAGACAAGGACATGTCATTACCAGGGAGGTCTGGTCCTTTTGCCTTGAGTCTGTCACCTGCTGCCCACCTTTCAGCCCTTTCAGCCCTCACCCCCACCAACTTCTTCTCCACCCACTTAGACCCCTCACTTATTAACGCCAACCTGGGGGTAAAAAAAAGCCAAGTGGCTTCTAACCCTTGTAAGAGGCAGATACATAATGACGGAGCGATGTGGCGTAGCGGTAACAAATTGTCCGTATTATAGCACTTTACATCTTGATATCCATTCTCCTCAACGGGCTTATCTGTAAACCGACTGAATTCACACTGGGATGCTAAGAAAATAGCTGTCATATAATAGATGGGGTCTCCCGGAAAATGAACATTTACAAATGGCTGTAGCATTTACTTAAAATGTCATGCCAATTGCTCGCTGTTGTCTTTATGCAATGAGATTGATTTTACTGCTCCTTGGAGTCCTCGGCCTTGATGGGTAGTTTTTAATGCAGCAGGGAGATGCTTTTTGTGTTTAATCTATAAATACAGCATGCAAAAGCACGGGCTCTTTAAGGTACGGTGAGAGTCCCATCCAAACCTCTTTTTCCCTAGGGTCTTCCTCCCTCCGGCTCCCTGGAGAACTAAGACCTGGGCAGGGCCCGAGCGGATCCTATTCATGTATTCAGATGTATGCAGATGTATGCATTTTGTTTAACAAGTTAATTCATTTGCCAGGCCAGGCAGTTAGGGGTTTCACAGTGTAATACCCACTCTTGCTTCTCCCTTCCGCATCCGATTATGCCCTGGGGTTTTACTTACAGAGTTTGTGGAGTTGGAGGCTAATGGGGTGCTGGGAGGATGGAAGCACGTTTTGAAGCAGACTGCTGCGGGGTCTCCCCAAGATGAGGCCAAGGGCTTTGCCCAGCTTCCAAGAATCCCAAAAGCTGAGGGCAGCCAGTCCACCTGAGAGGCATGTCTTGGGAAATGCACCTCTCTTGACACCCTACGGTGTGGCCATGCTTCCCTCCCCTGGCTGCTGAACAGCCACCTGTGACTGTCCCACCTGTGACTGTCCCACCTGTGACTGTCCCACCTGTGACTGTCCCCTGACTGGCAGCTATAGATGGCTGCATAACACCTCCTACCCCCGACCCCAGTGCTCCATGCCCTCTTCAGAGCCTTGCTTCTCCTCAGAAAGGAGGGCCAAGGGCTTGTGGGGAGAGATAGAGGAACTGCCAGATTGGGCCAGGATAATTTCAGTTGAGTCTCCCTCCCATCTGCCTCAGAGAGGGTTCTCGAATGAATGGATGGCTGGATGGATGACAAGAGAGAAGCAGCTGGAATCACATGGTACAATCAAGTCTGGGAGGGGTGCATGCCAAGTCTGTGGTGCCCTGAGGTTTGTGTCCTAAATGACATCAGTGAAACTGATGTCCGAACGCCCTTCATTTTAGAAGTTGTACTCAACCTTCAGTCCAGGCCCCGATGTCATCTTTTCTATCTCTAGAGCCCTGGCGGCCCTGCTGTGAACAGGACCTCCATCACACTTGGGTAGACTGTAGTGAGATCTAAACCACCTCTTCATGAAGACATATCCCACTCACTCTACTTAGGTCATTTGTGATCCTATTAACTCCAGCAGTCATCCATCTCATAGGAGGACTTGCTCCCACCAGCATGCTGTCTGAACTTGGGAAGTGTTACCCTTATCCTGACTCATTTGTTCAACAAGAATTTATTGAGCACATCCTATGAGCCGGGAGACAGAAGAATTTTTGGGGCATCACAGAAACAAGAGACCTGGCCATTGCTCTCAAGAGCATCTACATTCAGGTGGTGGGTAGAGATATGTCTCTCATAGCTGGACCTACTGGGTTCCTGCTCCTTTCCAGCCATTAAGGGGGCTGCTTTACCTGGCTTTAGAGCAGTGGCTGGGGAGGGTGGAAACTGAGGCCCAAGGGATGAATGGTTTTGGCCAGGTGCACAGTATGTTCTGAGGACTGGCTCAGAGGACCAGGCACCAAGTCACATGCTTCAGTAGAGAGCCTGAGATTTGTTTCTTTTAAAACTTATTAATATTTTAAAAGTTTTATTTTATACTACTTATGTATGTCTCATGTGTTTAAGTGTGTACGACTGTGTGTCCGCATGAGTATACACACATGTGTGTGTTTACAGATACTCACAGGGGCCGAAGGACCTGGATCCCTTACAGCTGGAATTACAGGTGCTTGTGAACCACTGATGTGGGCTCAGGGACCCAAACTCTGCTCCTCATAATTAAGCAGCAAGTATTCTTAACTCCTAGGCCATCTCTCTAGTCCCAAGACCAGTTTCTTTGACAAACCTGTCTTTGGGATTCCCCTGTGGAAAACTTCAAGGTGGGGAAACTGAGGCAATGATTAGCCCAAATGGGCTGGCTCTGGGGATCCAGGGTCCTTTCGTGGAAAATGATCACCTCTTGATGTATTAGAGACAGCTGTGGTTATCGATGCTGGTCTAAAAAGAAATGATTAGACAGAATCTGAATAATGATTTAGATTGATTACCCTCAGATAACCCTCAGTGGAGACATGAAAATAGTACAGAAACCCAATGTGCTCAGAACATCGTTAATTACTTAGATCTGGGGCCTAGAATGTCATTAGTATTCTATAAATTGTAGAAGGAAGGAGAGACCCCTTTTCCCATGGAGTCTCAGGCCTCTTCTCTGTTCTTCAACGCCACAGGCTGAACCCTTATGGTCAAAGTCACAACATCCATTGAAAAATCGGAGCAACAGATACAATCTACGCCCCAGAGGGACAGAATAGCTGACCTAGGCATGTCTGCTCTTCTGCAGGAGGGGAAAGTTGAGGCAGGTCTGACAACAGAGAACTGGTGTCAAAATAGAACCTTGAAGGTAGAACTGTAGACCCTTTACACCAATCAACCAACCGTCTCTTCTAAGGAAAGCAGCCAGGGCACTTCCGTGAAAAGTCTGCTCCCACCCCCTGTGCCAGGAGATTCTGTTACCCTAGCAACTACTGACAGACAGGAAGACTGCACTCTGGCCAGAGGCATGTGGGTAAGCCAGAGATGCAAAGCAGGTAATGAGGACTCCATGTGGATGCTGAACATATCAGTTATCCTTACTTGGTAACGAGTCAGCCCCAAACTCAGTAGATTAGAACAAGACTCCCTATAGGTCATCTCACAGTGTCTGTGGGTCAGGAATTCTGATTGGCTATGGTGGAAATGCATCTCTGTTCTCTGATGTTCAGGGCTTTGGCTGGGAAGACTAGACAGCTGTGGGTAACTCAACAGTTCAAGACTAGAATCATGCAGGGCATTTGATGATGGCCGCCTGCTGTCAACAGACACCCCAGTAGGGCCTCAGCTGGAATGCCTTTGGGAGTGCGTTGCTTTGAAACTCCAAACAGCATGGTCGCTGTGCTCCAAGAGCAAATACCTCCAGAGAGAGAGAGGCTGGATGAAGTACAAGGTGTTTTTATAATCTTGACCTAGAAGTCACTTCATGTACTCTGTTGGTCAAGGTAGTTAGGAGTCCTCCCTGGATCAAGGGATTGGGGAGTGTAATGGTTACACGATAAAAAAAAGAAGAAGAAGAAGAAAGAAAGAAAAGAAAAAGAAGAAAAGAACCCCTGGAGATATGAGGGTCATCTTTGGAGAATGCAATCTGCCTAGACAGCATGTAAGCAATCTGTTTAACTTTATTTAGTTTAAAAAAAAAAAAATGACACACAGCGGAGGACACAGCTCAGTCGGTAGGCTGCTTTTTGCCTAGCAAGGAGGATCTCTAGCTCTATCTCCAACCAGGCATGGCGGAGCACACCTGTCCCCCAGCACCAGGGGGGCAGAGGTAGGATGATCAGAATGTTCAAGGTCATCCTCAGCCACACCGTGAGTCTGAGGCCATCCTGGGCTACATGAGATTCTATCTCAAAACAAAAAAAAAAAAAAAAAAAAAAAAAAAAAAACAGAATCACACACACACACACACACACACACACACACACACACACACACACACACAATTATGTACTTGCTATGAGCCAGGCACTGTGTCTGGGCCTTTCCCATGTACTCTCCTAGAGTGTAAAGGAAAAGCCCACAGCCCTGAAGGGGTGTTCCAGTGAGAAGCAAACATAAACTGGTACAGGCTTCAGGGAGCCCCTAACCACCTACCGGTCTGTGCAAACACATCTAGGAATTCTCACCCTGACCCACAGCAGGGCCGGGTGGGGGCCTCCTGGCATTGCCATGACAACGTGGAGTCTCTATGGAGCCCCTGAATCCACAGCCTCTGGAGAACAGGGACACAGGCTCTTGGCGGCCCTTCCAGCCGAGCACAACCCAAACACTGTGATCGCAGTTCCTTCCCACATCCCAGCAGGACCAGGTCTCCCTCATCCCTCTGCCACCACACACAAGACCTGTCCTGGCTCACACCATCCCTGCCAGACTGGCTTCTCCTCTACCTCCGAAAGATTCTCAGTTTGCCATTTCCACAGTCATTTCCAGTATTCTCTATGGACTCTGGAAGGGTCTCCAAGGCCACCTGATACTTGGATGTCTCTAGTCACAGGCAGCCCCCTCCCCCCCATGCCATGCCATTTGCAGACAGCTGGGCCCTATAGGAAGCTCTGAAATTTCATTGCAAACAAAATAGAACTCATCTCTAGGTCCCACTGTGACACAAGTGTCTCCATCACCACACCAGAATAATTGTGCATTAAAGGGATGTCCCGGGGCAGGACCTGTATTTATGCTGCTTTATAAACAGAAAGCCTTTTAAGAAGTTAATTGTGATGGTGGATGGTGGTGGAGACTTCCCAGGGAGATGAAAAGTGCTATAATGAAATGACTGGGGGCCATGAGTACCTGGCAAGGGCAGGGGGCCATGCAGAAGAGGGCTGGGGTCCATCAGACTCTGAGTTGGGGCATTGAGGGAGGGAGGGAGGTCACAGCCCAGGAGAAGCTAGTTTAGGACGTGGTGACTTCAGACAGGAAAAGGAGGTCACGGGGAAGCGGATAATTTGTTGCAGTGCAGATTTGATGAGGGGAAAGGCTAGAATGAAGGGCAAGGGAAAGCAAATATCAGGCCATTAGCATTCACGGAGGCGGAGGATGAGGCCACCGAGCCGCGGGGTGCTGGATGAGGAGGGTGGCTGCGGGGCAGCTGCTTCAAGCTGACACTAAACTAGAGAGCTCTGGGCTCAGAGCAGAAAGAGACTTGCTTGCCAAGGACTCTTGAGAATGTACAGATAGGACCAAGGCTACAACATTCATTCATTCATTCATTCATTCATTCGTTCATTCAAGAAAGCAAGCAAAAAGCAAGAACTAGAGGTCCCCTGTGGACAAAGGTATGAATTCCCCCCGCCCCCACCAAGAACTCAGGAGGAAGAGAACCCACAGGCCTCCCTAGGGTAAGCTGAGGAGGCAAGCTCAAAGACAGCCAAAAGACACCCTTAGCAGAACAGAGTTAAAGGAACCTCAAGGAGGCCACAGAAGGAAGATTGGATTAGAGGAGAAAAGGAAGTTCCTATAAGGAGCAGGGCCCTTCCAGCTCAGCTCCCCTGGGGATCAGATAAACCAGACCCTTCCTTAGCATCTTCTCTGGCTCCCTAGGGATTTCTGTGTCTCACACAAACACCTCATTCTGTGTTCCAGGTCCTCTGTGCATGTCTGTCTCCATCTGATGGTCCCCTTGCTGGGCTGCTATTCTCTCTGTTGTCTGGGCCTGTCCGGACCTATCCCAAGGAGGTTATACCAAGAGAACCCTCCTTCACCACTGGTGCTTTATCCAAAGCGAGTGGGGCAGAGTGTGTGGCCTCTGCTCCCCTTGTCTTAGAATTCTATGTCTTGGTAACTCTCAACTGGTGAGAGGCTGCCCTTGCATCTGGAGATATGGCTATGCCATGCCAGCTTTTATGGGCAATCAGTCTGAGAGTTTTGAGAGGGTAGGAGTGTGGCTAGACAGTTAGAGCCCTTGCCTAGCATGAACAAG